GGGAAAGACAGGCTGAGTAGCCCCCCGGGGGATAAAACTAGGATCCCAACCAGGCAACGTGAACCTAGCCGTGCCATCTTGCACAAGATCCTAAGTTTCCAGAGGACCAGGGAGCTGGGCCGCCTGCCCCACTGCGCGCGTCGCACTCACACGGGGGCAGCGGGCTGGGGTTAGACCGCTCACTGCTGGCCAGCTGTGTCTTGTCAGTAGTGAGCAGCTTGCCGGTGTGGAAGCTCCTCGTGCCGCTGTGCGAGGTAAATGCCATCGCCAGGGCTTCAGCCTTGCGCAGTAAGCCCCAGAAGGAAGGAAGGTTCTTCTTTCTTTTTTCTTTCTCTTTCTCTTTCTCTCCCTCCTTTCTCTCGCTCCCCCTCCCTCTCCAAGTCCTTTTAATACAAGGAAAGCCACTGTACGTTGTGATCTCAGAATGTGGAGGTCAGCTGATACGTCACTTTTGTTTGGTGTGACCCTCGGGAGAGGATGTAACTGCCCATCCAGCCCAGCACACACTCGCTCTGAGATGGCAGAGGGGCGGGACAGCAGGGACACGTAGCTGTGCCTCGGTATCCACAGGACTCAGTTCCAAGACCCGCTCCCCGTGTACCCGAACTCTGACTCTTGCGCTCTCTATACAGCGGTGCATGTCTGTGCGTGACACCTGCCCAGTGCCCTGTGACTTCAGCCATCTCTGAGTGTGAACACCGTGCAAATAGCTGTCACACTGAGTGTTTGGAAACAGTGACAGGAGAGTCTATGCGCTCGTTCAGTAAGGACACGAGACTTTTCAAAGCCTGTGGCCCTTGCACCTGGGGGGCTGACTGTTTAGTTAGGGGGAAGAGTCGGTCCTTTGGGAGGCTGTGCAGTCCGCCCTCCCTGACAAGCAGGGAGCCTTGTGGATGGACAGCGCCACGTCCCCTTCCCCCCCCCTTACAAGGGGCCCGGTCGGCAGCTCCTGGGTGCGAGCTCTGGAGCTTCAGGGAGGGCAGGAAGTGCCATGAGGCCTGAGCACTGGACAGGGAGGAGAGGGGAGAGTTTGGTTCACTGAGCAGGAAAGGGACGGCGTGGTAGAGTGGGAGATGCGGGAGAGCAGGTAGTTGGGAGAATAAAACACATCAAAAGCCGACAGGAAGAGGGAAGTGGCTCTGAGTCCAGTCTCCTCCTCAAATCCGAGGACCCTGGTAAAGCACGGATTCCTCTGAAAGTCTGGAGAGGGGAACAGTCCACCAAGGTGGAGACTTGAGCTGCTTTCATTCTTCAGAGGGGGAATGTTGTACCTGGGACGTCTGAGATGCTCATTAGAATGTTGGAAATACAGACTTAGAACTTTAGAGAAGAGTTGCTGTTAGACCCCGCACTCTGGAGGCTGAGGCAGGAGGATTGCAAGTTTGAGGCCCACTTAGGCAACTTAGTGACATCCTGTCTCAAAATAAGAATAAAAAGGGCTAGGAGGAGCTGGGGATTTAGCTCAGTGGCACAGTGCCTGCCTGGCAAGCGCAAGGTCATGAGTTCGATTCCCGGCACCAGAGAAAAATGAAAAAAAAAAGGGGGGGGGCTAGGAATGTAACTCACTGCCAAGGCCCTGGATTCCATCCCTGGTACCACACACACACACACACACATGCATACACATAAAGTTGTGGTTAGAGATAAAGATTTGGGAGCTAAGCAAATAGATGTGTTTGTGTGTCAGAGTGCCAAGGACAAGTGGGAAGAAGAAGGTAAGGAAGAGCTTTCAGGGCAGGGGCAGAACAAAATCTCAGGGCTGGGGCTGCAGCACAGTGGCTGAGTGCTTGCCTAGCACGTGCCAGGCTCTGGATTCCATCCCCAACACTAAAAAAAAGAACAAACAAAAACACCAGCAACAGCAACAAAACCCTGACATCTCAGAAAGAGAGGTAGCAGAAAAGGTGGTCAGAAGGTAAAATGAGAATTAGGAGACACTGGGCTCAGTAGCAAGGGAGGAGGTCCAAGTAGAGACGATAAAACACTGAGCTGTGCAGAGGCAGAGCCGGGATGGTTGGAGTTCACTTACACTAGCTTGTGAAGGTCAACTGTTGGATTTTCAGGTCTTCAGAGAGCCAGTTGTTATGCACAACCTTGTTGAAAATTAAGTTGTCATCGATTTCCAACTAGGCAGACTGCATTAAAAACACTGGGTCAGAACCATACAAACCTCATCGCTTCATAGCTGCCTTACACTGTTGGGGGTGCCCATTGTTGAGGTTGTAGCCATGGGCATTGTGCTGCACCGCATGCTACCAAGAATCTCTCCCCAGTTGTCCTCAGACCTCAGGTTGGGGGCCTGAAATCAGTCACTAAGGAGGTACTTATGTGGCTGAAATTGGCAAACCCACAAACCAGAGTCTGATTTCCATGTCTGTAGGGCCAGTGAAGCACTTGCCAGTGCACCACTTGTGAAGATCGGCAGGTCCAGCAGATCAGCCAGGGACCCCTTGGCACCTACACCTGAGGTTCAGACAGGGACAAAAAAACAGGGCCTAAGGGGCAAGTGGGGACCTTGGAGAACAGCACTCAGTTAAGCAGCTGGGCGGTGCCGGTGGCTGTGCAGTTCTGATGTCCTTGGCTCATCGCCACACGTGCTCATTTTTTGAGATAATCATGTTTTCTTTTATATTTTGACCTGGTGCTCTGACATGTTTTAATATATTTCTAGTGTTAAATCCCATTTGCCATGCTGAGGTAAATCCAGCTTGCTTATGGTAATTTACTCTTTTAGTATACAGTGCTGTTGAATTATTTAATGAGCATTTTACTTAAAATTTTGTATCAGCCAGGCATAGTGGCACACACCTGTAATCCCAGCACTCCACAGGCTGAGGCAGGAGGATCATTGCAAGTTCAAGACCAGCCTGGGCTATAAAGTGAGCTCAAGGCCAGCCTGAACTGCATAGGGAGACCCTGTCTCAAAAAAAAAAAAAAAAAAAAAAAAAAAAAGAAAACCAAATAAAAATTTTGTATCAGTATTGATAAGTAGGACTGATTTTTTGGATCAGGTTTTATTTTATTTATTAATTTTTTTTGTCCTTTTGAGACAGGGTCTTGCTATGCAGTTCACTTTGTAGCCCAGGCTGGTCTTGAACTCGCAACGATCCTCCTGCCTCAGCCTCCCCAGTGCTGGGATTACAGGCGTGCTCCACCATGTCCGGCTTTTTTTGGGTCAGGTTTTCATGTCAGTATTAGGTTACTTTTAAAAACTTAAAGTGGTCATTGATTGATTGATTGACTGGATTTTTGAGACAAAGTGTCGCTGTATATTCCAGGTGACCTTAAACTCACTATTAGCTCAGGCTGGCTTGGAACTCACAGAGATTCTCCTGCCTCTTGAGTGCTGGGATTACAGGTGTGCACTACCATGTCCAGGTATACTGTAATTCTGAATGGAACAGAAAGATTCTCAGGAACAGGAGTGGCCTTTGGGAAAGGCTGTGAGATTCTGCCTGCCTTAAAAATAGTGTGAGCTGCTGGGTGTTGTGGCACATGCCTATAATCCTAGCACTCAGAATGCTGAAGCAGGAGGGTTGCCCTGAGTTCAATGGCAGCCGGGGCGACATAGTGAGACCCTGCCTCACAAAAAAAAAAAAAAAAGATAGTATATGAGCTGCCCTGCTTTTCTGTATCATCCAGTCTTGGGGCTACAAGCTAGGAATAGAAAGTTTCCACAAAATCTTTACTTTCTTCCTGCCTACTTCTTAATGAATTCATGAGGACTCCAAATCAGGCAAATACCAAGGACCACCAGTATGGCTCAATTTTTCAGAGAGATTTTGTTGAAAAATTTCTTTGTTAATATTCTTTTTTGTACATATTTGAACTCTTTTTAGCAGTTGCCTTAGGTGTTAAAAAAAAATCAAAGCGAGTCTCCTAACAGATAAAGCTGCCTTTGTGTGTTAGCCAGTTCACAAACGACGACCGTTCCTGGTTTCTGACCGACAGCTTAGCGGTGTTGGTGTCAGTCACTGGGTCGCAGATGAGCAGGCAGACAGAATCCAGAACACACATGGATGCGCTTCCTATGGGGCCATGTCCCATCCTGAAAGCAGACTTGTGGCTTTGTTATTAATGTCAAGTTTACATGAAGATACTTTCAATTTCCAAACAGAAGCGCTCCATCATGCTGGAGAAAACAAACAGGTGAACTACACTGGTGGTAGTGTATGCGTTGTCATATCGGAAGGAACAAATCGGGAAGGCTGTTTATCCTGGGGACCGATTGCTCTTCTGCCAGGCATCAGGCAGCAGAAGGGAACTACGCTGTAAATTCCAAGTGGGAAGGCGCAGAAGTAACAGAGCGAGAGGGTGTGTTGGGTCAGATGTGCTGGCGTCCAGCCCTCCTGATAAGGCCGCTGGCACGGAGGCTGTTTTGTCTCTGCGGACGAGTCCTGCGAAAGACGAGGCAGTGTGGGGGCCGCTGATTCCCTGCTCTGGGTTGTGGCCCACAGCTGCCCCTTCCTTGGGGACTGCTACCACTCCCATCTAGGGCCTCAGGAAATCCTCACTTTGCAGAATACGTCCGTTACCCAACATGCATCCTTCGAGGGAACTGAGCCTTGTAAGGTCTAGCTTTTCTGAGTCTGCACTATCACGCAGGTACCATTACTGTGACCGGGGAGAGGCACCAGAGCCAGGCCTTGGCTCACACGAGCGAGCAACCTGGGAAGGTGGGAGAAGTGCATGGAACACCCGTCTCTAAGGAACTCTGGGGAGATTCTCCGGCCCCACAAGGTTTATGAGGAGTCATTTGGTGGTTTGCTGGTTACTTCTAGAGCAATTGTGGCGAACTTATGGCAGCGGGCAGTTCGTATCATTGAAAGCTCTGGAAGGTTCGCCGTCACTGTTCTAGAGAACACAAAGCATTATCGACTCAGGCTGAGGGCTACCGAGAAAGTCATGTATTTGTGTATGTGCTTTTTGGCGGCCTGGGTTATCTGAGGATTTGGAATATGTGTGTGGATTGAAAATCGTGTTTCCTTTTAATCCTTCAGATCTGAAAGGCGCCAGCTCTGCACCCCAGATCACAAGAAGATTGTTTTCTCACACAAGAGTCGCCCTTTAACAGTAGGTAAAATCAGAATTTATTACACTAAATTTGTGTTTCAAAGTGCCCTTTTAAGAGAATGTGACAGTCCTTTGCACCATCTCGCTGTAAAGTGAGTTAGCTGTTATGCATTCTGCAGTGTAATTTACTGGTCAGTTGGAGCTAGCAGTAATAGATTTGTCTGAGACAAAACAAAGATAGGAAGATGATCTAGAAGTTGAGAAATAATGCGAATCCTAAGCAAGAAATCTCTTTTACATTCCTCTTCTCTTTCTACCCAATTAATAATTGCAAATACATCATTGTAGGATCTTCTGATGTTTATAATTAAGATAAACACTGTATATCTTGCCTGGTTCACGGTAGGCCACGCACTCACTAATCTCTGCCACACTAGAGAAAGTGGCTTTTTTGGGCCAGATAGGTTCCACCGAGGAAGGACTTCTGCCTGTACATGGCTCCCCACACCGGTGCACCTTCCTCTCTGCCTGTCTGGATGGGGTGTGAGTTCAGTGGCTGAGCATTTATTCCTGCGTGGCTTGATCGTAGGGTTCAAGCAAGTTCCTTAGTCCCCAAGTGCGTCTGGGGCAGAGACTACGCATTACTTTATGAGAGTAGGTAGTTCCAGGACTCCTGACTGCAGTGATCCGGGAAGGTATAGGATGGCTCATTTTCCTGAACTCTGTAGCGGAACAAGTTGCTCATGGAAAACAAGAACTGTTAGCTAGATCCACACCAAAGCTAATCCAGAGGGGTGTGTGCTGAAGTGGGGTCAGCTTACGCAGGAGTGTGTCTTCACTTGGTGCCTCGGGGGCCTAGCAGCGGGAGTCACCCTGCAGCAAACCAGACATGGTTTCCAAATACTATTTCCTTTTCTAAGAATCCAGGACACTTTGGAGAAGTGGTCGGTGCCGCAGCTGGGACCAGGACAGTTCAGCCTGGGGGTGCCAGGGAGTGAGGGTGTGGCTGAAAGAGCTTGCAGTGGCCAGCGCTGGGATGGTTTCAGAGAGAGCGGCTGTAGGTTTGCAATATAGCCCTCCTCAAATATGCACAGAAGTGTTCAGACTGATGCACAAAATCACTAAATAAATACATAACAAAGTGGAGGCAGGGAGGCAGAGAATGCTGCCTTCCAGAAGCATCAGCAAGTCCTGACGTTAACGTGTGTGGGGTGCAGGGTAAGGAGAGCAGGGTACAGCATTTGCATAACCTTACTGTTTCCCCCAAGTGTGTATTGATTATATAGAGAAAAATAATAACTGTGCAGTAGAAAATGCTGACAGACGCCACCGCAACCAAGTGGCCAAGATCAGTCAGTAATAACGAGAGGCCCTGAGCCCTGTCCCCCTGTACGGTGCCCTGCAAGGGGCACCGCGTGCCTTTGGCCTCCTTCCCTGTGGGATCACTGGAGGGCTGAACCCCATCAGGGACAGCTCACAGCTCACCTGTGCCCCGGGATGCAGGAGGCCGGGAAGGGGCCAGGAGCTGCTGCATACAGACAGGTGTGGCAGTTGAATGCCTCGTGGGACCCTGGAACAGAAAAGGGACGTTAGGGGGACGGCTGGTGAGGTGTAGGGGTGGTTGACGGTACCGGGCTGCCATTGGTTACTTGTTTGGGTAACCAAGCTGGTCACACCCTGTTCACCGTGGGAGCCGGGGAGAGGCGTCCACCCGTGGGAACTCTCTCCCCCTTAACTTCGCTCTGCCTTGCAGCATCTCAGAGCAATGAGGTTGTTTTTGTTGGTTTTGTTCTGCGGGGCTGGGGCTAGAAGGAAAGGCCTCAAATATGCTAGGCAACCACTCAGTCCTGAGCCACACCCAGCCGTCAAATAAGTTTGTAAAAAGTCACAGTGGAGGCCCTGAGTAATCCCTCTCACTGCGTCTTCGCTAACCCGTGGAGCGGCGCTGCTGCCTGTGTGAAATCTGAGGAGGTGCAGCAGGGCATCCTCATCTGGGCCATTCCTGAGCAGCGTTTGGAAATCCTCTTCTCTGCGTTTGTTTGGGAGCTAAGATTGAACCAAGGCCCCAGACAAGCCGAGTCCTCACTCCCCTGGGAGACCTGTGAGCGGGCGACTCCACGGGGCTGGGGCACAGCCCACAGGACGACACTAGCCCAGCTCCCAAGGTCCCCGCCAAAAGAAACCACAGCCAACCACAGCTCCTCAAACTGCACCTCCTCGGGAACCCCGCTTAGCCTGTTTCAGCTGGAGGCAGCCGGGGTGCCGTGGGAAGGGTCCCGCCAGAACTGGGGATGCATCTGGAGCTCATGAATCATCTCGTGCTCCAGCAGTCTTTATCGGCAAGAGGAGACTTAACCAAGACCTCAGCCTCCTATCTGAATGGCGAGGTAACTGTTGTAGGAATTCTGTGAGCACAGGCAGTGCTGAGCGAGCCCGGCTGCCCACGGAAGTCAGTGACAGCAGGAAGGCTGCCTAGAGAATTTACTTAACCTTCCAAAAGCCTGGTTCCATTTAAAATAGAAAGGCCGAACTCAGGAGACAAAGGGCAGATGTGTACCTCAGCATCTAAAAACGAGTGGTCTAAACTCAGTTGTTTTGGCATGAAAACCGAAATGTGAAGTATTTGGAATTTGACCCTGATTTGGCGGGCGGGGGTGGGGGGAAGGGGCACGTCGCATCTCCAGCCGTCTCAGTAAACTGTGTGAGTTCCCAGCTTTGGGGTGAAACCTGCAATAACAGAAGATGGACCTAAAGTAGCTGGAGAGAGAGACAGAGACAGAGAGAGAGACAGAGACAGAGAGGAAGAACTGGCAGGGGAGGAGAGAGAGAAGGAGGGGGCAGAATGGAGGCAGAGTTTCAGTTTTGCAAAATGAAAACATTGGACAGCTTGGTCATGCAGCATTGCCCCTGAACTTCACCCTTTAAAATCTGCCGAAAAGAAATCATTGATGCTGTGTCTATCTGACCCCAATTTTTAAAAAGTAAGAAAGAAATAACAGAAATCTTCCGTGGTTCTAGTCCACTTTCCTGCCAGGGCATCCACCTTGAAGACAGCCTCTGCTCAGGACATTTATCCTTAGCAGACTTTTTTTTCTAATGTGGCGAGGATTCTCGGGACGTGATTTATCTACTGACAGTTCAAATCACCCCCATGCCTTAAATTGCACAGGTGAAAAAGAAAAAGCCTGATGAACAGGAAATAGAATGGGTGGCTGGGAGAGTTGACTTGTGAGGTTAATTTATAACTAACACAAATGAATCTATAAAAAAGGAGAAAGCCCCATAAGAAATATGTTAAGTGATAAGGAGCAAAGGGGTTTAGATGGAAGATAGCTGAGCTCCTTTGGTCCCAGTGCTTTTATGACTGGAGAATTCAATTGCAGGTGTGCTGCACGGGGCAGGCCGCGGTTCCGTAGAGAACTAATAGGGCTCACGATCCCTCTCACCCCTGCCGTCTCTGTCTGCGCACGTGCGGCCAGCGGCCGGGCCTGCCCTCTGGACACGTGGCCTGGCTGCCCCTCCGCCTGAGTGGCAGGGTTTTGGGGTTCAGCGTAGATCAGATCTTAGGGTGGGCAGGTGGTACACGGTACCCTTGGAACTAAGATTCAGCACTAGGCCCACTGACTTCTGAATTTTGGCTAATGAGTTTGTTTCATTGTACATTGCCTTACTTATTTGTTTGTTTTGTTGTGTTTCTTTTGGTGGTGCTGGGGATTGAATCCAGGGCCTTACACGTGAAAAATACACACTTTACCACTGAGCTACAACCCAGCCCATGTTAATTTCTTTTAAAGCAATTTATTACTGAACAGCTATGAAAAAGCTCACACTTACTTATACAAAGACTATTCTTACTTCCTTAGTTTCTTCCAGTCCTTGTTAACATGTCTGTCTGCCTATGTATCTATCTATGTATCTATGTATCTATCTATCATCTCTTGGTACTGGAGATTGAACCCACGGCCTTCACACTGACCTACATCCCCAGCCCTTTTTTATTTTTTGAGATGGTTTCACTAAGTCACTCAGTTGTTGGAATTTTCGATCCTCCTGCCTCAGCCTCCCAGAGTTCTAGGATCACAGGTGTGCACCTCCGTGCCCTGCTCTGTACACATTTATCTACTGGCAGAATCCAGGTAGCACTTTTACTCATTTCTTTGCCTGCTAGGTCACCTACCTATCACTTTGTTTCTGCGTGGCTCTCAGGTGTGTCCAGAGGATCTGTTTCAGTGACATTACCTAATTTGCGAAACCAGATTTCAGGTGTTTGTCGTTTGTATTGTTATTCTACAGTTACAGTCCCGCTGACTCTGACACTCATTATCATGCATATCTTCAGGTACTTATTTCATTTCATTTTAAAAATGCTTTCCTTCAGATAAATTGCCAGGAAAGGAGTGTGGAAGGGAAAGTGCCCGGGCAGCTCCCTTCCTTTTATGTTCCTGGTTTTTGTGACCTAGCGCACTGGCCTGTGGGTACATTAGTAGCAAAACCTCGCAGGTTAAGGTTAGGCAGCTTCTGTCTGTCCTTCTGTCTGTCTGTCTCATGAATTATCACTTTCTGCGGCTGTGCTGCGGCGGAGGCCAAAGAACGTCCCCACTTGTTTAAGGAGCAGATAAACACCATGGCTTTTTGTTGTTTAAAAAGAAGTTGCCATTACTTAAATCTGCAGATTTAAATTAAGCATAAAGCCTGTGTGCTGCAGGCCCCTCGAGATTTTTTCAGGCCTTGTGCTGCTAGTTAATAGGAAGAAACCACTGCTTTTGAAAATGCAGGTTTAACAACGTAAGGCTTCCAGGGGCTGGGGATTTAGCTCAGTGGCACAGCGCCTGCCTGGCAAGTGCAAGGTCATGAGTTCGATTCCCGGTACCGGGGAAAAAAAAAAAACAACAAAAAAACAAACAACAACAACAAAAAAAATGTAGGGCTTCCATACAGATGGATACAAGTCAACTTCTAAAAAATTTTTGAATATTAAGATATTAAAATATTAAATATTTAAACTCAATTATGTTAGAGGCCTGGGGGTGTAGCTCAGCGGTAGAGCCCTTGCTCGCCTAGCAG